AAATTTGATAATATTTTTAATATATATATATTTTTTATATATATATATATATATACATATATTATATATATATATATATATATATATATCCTTCCAGAGAAATCCCTCTGTCCATTTTATTGCACATTTATAAATAATATCTAACATATAAAGTCCATTTCAAATAAGATATAAAATAATAATAATAATAATTATATCAACACACAATTTTACAAAGGATACTTAGAGAATATTGTTAAAATCGTATTTTATCGAAATGCACTTTATATGTACATGCTATCACATGTAAGAATAAAAAGATGCTTAGCAATTTGCACATTCTGATATTTAAATAATCTTATAATACATTGCTTCTTAAAAAAAAAATATATATATATTGAACGTTATTTTAAATATACAAAAATATTACGTAGAAAATGCTTGTATAAATTGCTAAACATCTAGGACCAAAGATGGTTGTGGGTAGTGTTCAAACTTACCTTGTGTTTGTCTGCGACATACATTCATAATTAACGCTAAATTTATTGTTGTATATCTTATATGTATATTGGTTTTATTTCTATTTTATTTAAGTTCTTCAAGATTTTTATCAATGCATATAATTGCAAGCACTTTAAAGTAGTATATATTCTCATTTGCGTAATATATTGATTTCTTTAATAGATATACATAAGCAATACTATTAATAACTTCTGTTTTCAAATTTCCAAAACTGATATTTTTTATACCAATTTTTATTATTGTAATGTATCATTAAATCTATTTCATTATAATTATTTATTTTATTCAATACTAATAAATATACATAACTTTGTTCATCTTAAATCCAAAATCAAGTTACGATAATAAAAAATAATAAGTAAATAAAATCAAACATAATGTTTTGTGTTATTGTTTATGTTCACCACAACAAATAACATCTTTGGCCCTTAAGTAATAAGTTAAAAACAGAAAACTCACCCAGTTTTCGGATCCACGTCTGATGTCTGTGACATTACCATCTCGGGTATATCAGCAATCTTTTGTTGTTGAAGTCCGGAAGGACCTGCTTCGTCGCACGCTAAAGAGACATTGACAAATGTTGTAGGCTCAATAGTTCTATTAGGATCTTCTTCACTTTCTTCTTTTATAGGTAGGCCTTAAACAGAATTAAGTTTTCCTTTTTTTCTTCTCTTTTCATTTCAAGCAATTTTTTTCTATTAATACATTAATTATATAAGTTATATAGACGATATAAGATATTTAGCACAAGTATATACCTTCATCTCCATCGCATTCATCATCCGAGTTTTCTTCTTCTTCACTACTCTCCTCTTCTTCTTCTTGCTGTGTGGATGCATTTGTTTGATCCTGCGTAATTTGGTCATGCGACGTTTGTGTACTTGGTCCAGCTACTGGTTGGACATTTTGTACGGAGCTACCACTGTTGTCTATAGGAACTGAGGTTATTTGTTGTTGGGTACTGCTCGACATCATCATAGGCATAGTCAAGCCCATATTGTCCATCATACCCATAGTCATATTGTTCTGATGTTCGCTTACTTGTTGCATCACAGTACCATCTAACCTGTTCTCGTTGCTCTGTTCTGGTTTCATTCCATTCTACAATTAATAGAAAACAAAATACAACTTTTAATATATATATACATTTTTAATATATTTGTCTAACATTTTATTTTTTAACTAATATTTTATTTCTTTAACTTCTAGTCATCTTATTCATTATCTTATTCATTATATTCCATGTAATATTTATATAATTAATTTTTTTATATCAATACATAACTAAGCACGCAAAAAGATATATATTGTAATATATATATACATATACAAATATAAGATTTAAAAATATCCAAGAAACTTACATATGTATAACATGCAAAATATTGAAATCACTAGTTATTATCATTGCTATGGTAAATATAGACAAATGAAGGCTCAGACAAAAGACAATCTGTGCACTTATATAATTTTTTAGGCATCTAAATTTTTAAAATTGTATAATGCTAAGTTTTTCTTTTTCATATATTTGTCGAGAAGAAGATTAAAAAGAAACAAATAGATTATACAGAACAATAATTACCGGATTGAGAACAGTGCCAACGTAACCCTGTTTGTCTTCCATGTTTACCTCGCCTAGCCATTGTAGTAACTGTTTTTCTGCGTTCGCTGTCGTATGCCAAAATTGATAAATTAATTCTACTTTATAAACACAGTCGTCACATATCTTCTTGGGTAATTTGTCTTCTCGGGCAACCTATAATCATAAGAAGAAAGGAAATCTATGCGAGACTCTTAACATAAGATATCTATAAAGATCATATTTCAAAATTTTATTAATATCAAAATTATTTCTTGAATATTACAAAAATTTCTCCTCTCTCTTAATATTATCTTTAATAAAATCATTATGCAAGAATCGTGTCTCTCTTTATCTACAAGAGCTCTCTATAAACAAAAGAGACGCCATTAAATTGTGAGCTGATATCTAATTCATAACGCAATAAAAATCTATGCGTAAATACATATATAAATTAGTATTAATTGCACGATAATTAGCGTCAAAACAATGTTTCCGTAACTAGAATTAAAGACAAAATGAGGAAATATCGATCTCAGAAAACGATAGGAAGTCAACGTTATACGTTTCGTGGGACGACAATGTCGACGGTAAGATATCGAGGAAACATCGACGACTAAAATTATATTAATTTCGCCTCGCGGGATATAAAAATATCAAATTAGCTTTACAATTAAAGTCGTAAACGCGTCGTTAGTGTCAGCGTCTCGTGTTAAGCCACGTTCTCAACCGACTACGATCTACAGACAAAAGCGCGGCAAGAGTCCATTGAATAATTAGTGGCGTCGCAAAGCCAACAAGCAGGAAT